GGTAAGAGTTATTGTGAAAGTTTTTAGACAAAAGCCCAATAGGAAGAAGAATAGAAATGTATTTTCAGGTAAAGAGGCCAGTCTTTATTACTGTTGTGTCTCTCACATTAATGGATGTTGTATTTGTCTCTGTATCAAGTCTGTAGACCATATCAAGTATTAAGTTAGAATGAGGATATGAAAAAACCTTTATACATTTTTTTATTATTATTTTACATTGAGCCAATTTATTGGCTTGATTAGCCAGTCCAATTCCTAGGTTTTTTGTAGGCTTAAGACTAACTACGTTAAATCATAATATATGTTTGGAAAGCAAAAAGAGAAATAGCAGCAGTGTTTGTTTGTGTGAAGCAAACACTTTTCATCTAACATTTAAAACAAAGGGTTCATGATAAATGCATGGAGAACATCAGAACAGTCTACTGATTGCTGGTGTACACAGAATCGTGTCATCTGCATGAAAATTAGTCTGGATTGGATAATGGTGTTTTTTATACATTTATAAAAGGGGACCCTATTGACCCTTGAGGAACCCCATTGTCAAGTTATTAGATTCATATCCCGGTTTAATCAAAATCAATTAATTAAAAAGAATGTAAATGTAGAGTATAGTGAGCCAGATTTGAGTATGATAAGCAATTATCATACTTTAATATTTTAAAAATTACTTGATTTTTAAAGGGCACCGGCTGATATTATGTTCTGATCGGGGTAAAACCACCACAGATTACAGGTTCCCAAAAATATAATTTACATAAATCAAATTCCTCTAACTTAGGTTTCACTACATACGTATCTTTCCCCTGGTCACCATGCCACCCCTGCAGTGGCTCTATGCCTCAAAAGGTTGAAAAGCACTGCTTTAGGCGGTGATTGAATGAAAAATAATTAGGGCTTCTGTAATTCAAGGTCATGGATGGAGATGGTTCTTTCAATGGATGAGCTGAATAAATTATGTAAGACCCCTGTTCAAGGAGGTGTTTGGAATTTCTTTGACTAATGATCCAACCATGAGATCGACTGGAGGTCTCGCGCCTTCCTAACATTTTTTTGTGCACAAAAATGTGACATCTTTGGGCATTTTGAACTGATACACCAGCAAAGACTTTGAAAATATCCCAAATTGCATCTGAAAATAAAAGCCGTTCACTGGAAGTGTAGAGTTCTCTTTTTCAGTCTCTCAGATAAATGTAGAATGACTGAAAAGGGCAACATCTCTTAGGATTCCCCAAACAGTTGTATTGGTACTATACATTTATGCGGTTATTTAACATTTTATTTGAAAGTTGACACAGTCCCATCTTTTGCAAAGTCAGTTCACTTTAAAATGCTGTTAACATGACTATAACCATTGATCCAGCAAAGTGAAGCACTCTTGTTCCAAGAGTGTGAGATATGAGCCTGTTAATGAGCTGGATGATTGAATACTGGACTGGAAATGAGGCAGGGGTGGCTAATGAAGCCAAAAGGGGGTGACTGTTGAGGGGGGGTGATGGTCTAAAAATATATACTTTGTGAAGTACAGTTTCTTGCCATCCTGACATGAATTAAACTTCATGTCAAACTGTGACTCCTTTCATCCTCTCTGGTGTTGCCAATGAAAAACAAACATTTAATAATTACTTCAGACAATACTGGCTTGGGAACAAGTATCTGACTGAAACCAATAAAGGGAGACAATAAAGGCTGTCATGCACAAAACAAAAAAGGAGGTATTAATTGACTCCCCATAAAAACCTCAACCCAGTCTTTTCTTCTCGGGAAAGTACACTTAGTTAAGATTATTCAATTTAAGCTGAGTAACAAAATTAGTTTCCAACAATACGATTCAATACACACTGATGAATAAGCAAACTGCTTTGACTTACAACATCTCTCTCTCTCTCTCCCTCCTGTACTCCAGCTGCTGAAAGTGACAGATTAAAAGAACTGGTTCGGGTTAAAAAAAAGTCAGACATCAGATCAAGCCAGTCTCACGGAGAGATGCTTGCCTCTGGATGTTAAACTCTTCATGCTCCCCATTTTCTTGTTTTGTCTTTAACTGTTTTCTAAATTTAAACCCTAATAATCAGGACCAACATCTCAGGAACACTCCCTTTTCTTCTTGGTGGAGAAATCCTTATTAAAACTTAAGTAATATAGGCCTGTTGGCTGTATGCCAGTCCTCTCTGAGGTTACCCACTCCTTTCACCAGCTCTGCCCTACAGCCTGGTTATAAGAAAAGCTGAGCTGGAGCCTACCTTAGCAGCAAACGAAGAGCTCGGCTTCTCCAAGAGGTCCCAGAGTTTCCTTCTCTTCTCGGAACAACATGTGGTTGTAAACTCCTCTCCTTCCCTATCCCTCATGTTCTCGGCCTCTCTTTTGAGCTCCTCGTTCATCTGCTCCTTCTTCTGGTGA